CGGCCGGGCCGGGCGTCCCAGCCCCCCCGCCGAAACGCCAGGATGCTCTCGGGTTTCCCGTCCGCGGCCTGAGCATGGCCCAGTTCCACCCAGTGCTTCATGTGTGAGAGAACAAGGATGAGGACCAGAGAAAATGTTCTCCCAAGGCAGGTTTTCTGCCCAAAATAGAGGAAATAAAAGCAAAGAGGGGACAAGTCCCACTGCCCACAGACATGCTGTGGGACAGCCCTGGCAAGGCTGGAGGGCAAGCGGGAGGTCCCAGCCCCTCCATGCCATGGCAGACCCCTTCTGGCTTGTCCCCAGACTGCCACCACCTGGGAGCTCGGGCTCTTCACAGGGCTGCAGGGAGCTGGTTTCATCCTCCTTCACAGAGAGGAGCAGCCTCCATCCCTCCCTTCTGCTGGTGGCAGGAAAACTTGCTACCAGAGCGATGAGGTGCAGGATACCAGCCGCTGTGCCCAGGGTCCCCAGCAGGCTGTGGAGTGGAATTTCAGTCCACTGCCAACTCCAGACAAATCTCTTTTATTTGCTTCTGCAGGTTCCGATGCCGTAATTGCACCGTCTGAGCCAACTATCAAGAGAAGAAGAAAGGAAAGAGGAGAGGGACCACGGGCTGCCCGCTCGCAGCCTGCCCGCTGCTGCTGGGGACAGCCTGAGTCCTTCCCTCCGGTGTCTGGATCTTCACCCATAAACCCCTTTGGATGTGAGCTCTGCCATGGGACACCTGCGGGAAAGGGGCAATTTTGCATAGGAAATGTTCCTGAGCAAGGGACCCTGACACCTGCTCTGTCACTGAGCACCCCAATCCTCATGTGGGGTGTGAGAGGGACAGGAGTGACAGCAAGGAGGAGACTGAACCCATGGCAGGGCCCCCGTGAGCACTGGGGAGGCACAGAGATCCTTTGCCTGCAAAATCCAATGTTTTTGTACGCTCCCTCACCCTTGGAATAATCCCTGTGGATACAGGACAGTCTGTGGCATCTGCATCAGCATTGACCTACATGTACATTTTACTGGCATTAACTGGAGCATCAAAATAAAGAGCTGCTTGGAGGAGAAAGCACAAAGTCGGTCTGAAAAGGCCAAAGTGCTCCTGACTGTGCTGGTGTTGGGGCCACCGTTGTCCAGGGGAGCAAAGATCGAGGTGAAAGCTACAAACCTCTGGTTTCTCAGGTCACCGCTTCGCGGTTAGAAACTCAGTGGGAAAGAGGGATGTTTGGGCAGCAAGTCCCCTCGATCCTGGGGAGGGAGCGGGGCCGTCCCCTGCCCTTGGCAGGTGCAGATCAGCCCAAGGGGACACGCACGGAGTGTCACCACCAGTGTCCACCCTCCACGCTGGCTTCTCCAGGACCCTTCGCACAAGGGGCAGCTTGGTGGGATTTCCCAGCAGAGCAGCCCGGAGCGGTACCCGATGGTGGCCACAGCATCCCTGGCAAAGGCACGTGTGACACTGACCCCTACCCCTGGGAAGAAGCTGCCAGGACTGTTCAGAGAAGGCCTTTTGGGCTGGGGGTTGTCTGCTCTGGAGAGGTCACTGCCCCCAGGGAATGGCCACCATGGGGCAGGGCCAGAGCCTGTCCCCAACAGCGACCTCCGTGGCCGCCTGTGCTGTCTCCGGGTTAGTAATAGTCCTCCTCGCTCTCCCCGTAGTCCTCAGGCGTCGCACGGAGCTTCGGCAGCGAAAAGCCCGTCAGGTTGAGCTGGTCTGAAAGGGCAGCGCAGGGACGAAGGGTCATTGCCCCCGCTCAACGTCCTTCTCCCAAGGCCAGGGTCTCCACTGCATCCAATTCCCGGGGACCCAAGTGGAGCTGGGGCCAGGCTGCTCACTGGGCACTGTCACGTGAAGCCCCACAGCTCCCGAATCTGCCCAGCTCCCACTGCAGCAGTGCAACCTCCCCTCCTCATCCCTGTAACAGGCCACACCAGTGAAGCTGAGGGATGCCTCAGTTTCCCTCCTCCCTTAGCAGCACCCTCCATCCAGGGAAAACCCGCCCAGAAGAGCCTTCTGCAGCCCCCCAAGTAGCGCTGTTGCCTCAGAAAGCCCCCATCGAGCTGTGGGAGGGGACGGGGACAAGGGCACGATGCCCCTGCGCTCACCTGGCGTGAGGACAGTGAGGCTGGCTAAGGCCACCACCTCCCCGACCTTGTTCCTGGCGAAGCAGCGGTAGGTGCCCTCGTCCGTCACGCGCACGTCCTGGATCTGCAGCCAGCCGGTCACTTCGTATTTCTGGGGGCCTCCCCTGAACTGCAAGAGGAAGGGACTTAGCCCGGGGGCTGGGACGGATGGGAAAGGTCCAGGGAAACTCTCTGTCCCTACACTAAGCTCCACTGGGGCCATGCCCCAGGTGCCTGGCTGTGCCCCATGTCACCGTGGTCCCCAGAGGGAGCATCACCCTGTGGAGGGAGGATGCAGAGCCGGCTGTAGGGCTCAGTGCAGACAGCTCAGCTGGAGAGAAACGCTGCTAAAACGCTAGGCAAAGAGGTCTCCAGCACATTCCTCCTGCCCCACAAGTGCGGTCCATCCTGGGGGCTGAGGACAGGGTCCCAGCAGTCCAGTCCCCACCAGCCCTGCTCCCAGGCCCAGCAGAGCAGCACGGCGACGTCCCCTCAGCAGGGCTTCAATGGCCAGCCAGGATCTAACGGGTCCCTCTGGCTCTCGTCCTCGGACACGGCTCCGGCCCTTGGACGCAGCTCAGGCCAGGGCAGGACGCACAGCCGGAGCTGGGTTACATCTGAAGGGTCAAGCTGTGCTGCCGCCAGGGTGCTGGGCTCTCCCGCCTGCTGGGCCACAAGCCAGGAGCTGCTGGCAAAGCAGAAAAGCCACGTCAGCCGCTCGGGGAAGGCTGGGGCTGGGGCAG